AAAAAAAAAAAAAAAAGAGTTCACAGAATAGTAGTGATATAATCATACCAGTTTATACCTAAATATTTACTAGGTCAAGGGGCTAAAGGCATCAATTTACTTTTTAGGAGCCCTGGAATAGTTGGAAAGTTATTTATTGGTTTTATTATAAAGTTTACCTAAAGCATAAAATCCAGCTCTTGCAAGCTGCTCCTTGTTAATTGAGTATATCCACGTCCCAAAAGTAATGATCCGTGCTTCATAATCTGCCATGGATGGATTTCTTGGAAGATTTGTTGAATTTGGGCAATTCCTATCAGAACTCACAACATCAGATTCACTTCTAGTATTAATGTTCCGGCCCAAAACAAAGAAGCAATTAGGAAAGTGTCGCCTGTGTTCTGACCAGGCGCGATCGCAAGGTTCCCAATTTTTCAATTTTCCACCACAACAAAAGCACTGCACTTGATCATCAATACCTGTGTAGTAGAGTCCAGCACTAGCTAACTCTCTTGGGGTTAAGTGGGCATAGTCTGGCCAATTCTGGAATGACTTTAATCTAGCTTCTTCACTACACATGGCAGGATTCCTTGGGTAAATGGTGTCTGATATATCTACAACCTGTCCAGTTCTCAGAAGATAGTCTGCGTGAGTCTCAGATGGCCTGTCTAAACCAAAATGATTTCTGTTTCCCAGATAGTTTTCAACTTTGTACTGACCATTCTGGACACCAGGATTTGTAGGCTGCATGGCACTATTTTCAAAATAAAAGCCGTTGATAAATCTGCAATTTGGGGATACTTTCCTGTGTCTTCCAACTGCTGAGTCTCCATATTGCCATCTATCTACTGCTGCATGACAACTAAAGCACCGCACGGTATCTCCTTCACCAGTATAAAGAAAACCTGCTCGTGCCAGTGTTGATGCTGAAACAGGACTAGTACTTGGAAAATTAGCAAAAGTTTTTAATCTATTAAACTCTTCTACAAATTCTTCATCCTTATTGATGTCTGCAGGTATACAAGTTTTAGATCCTTCAAAACTGTTAAAAGTCATCTTCTCTTGAAAATAGGACTTGTCCACCTTTTCTAAAAAGAGAACATTACATTAGGAGATCCAAAATACAAAACACAAGGAACATACTTTTGTTATTAGGAGCTAACAGATTACATACTATTGACACAAAAATAATCACACAATTTCTAGAAACATTCTAAATACTAGAGTTCAACATTACCGTATGATTGAAGTCATAAAGTAAAATATAGAATTTCTTTCTTTTTTAGAGGAAAGTAATATTTAAACAAGTATAACAAAACTATCAAAACTTAATTTTTAAGGGCTTATTTTACATAAATATGGAAACTATGTGACGCAGAATATATTATGATTATTAAACACATCAAGTCATTAATTAGTAAAGACATGAAAGAAGCATGAGATATGTAGATTATTAAAGTCTATGCATAATTGTTATAATAGATCATTGTATATTCAAGGCATCAAAGTTCAGAGTTTACAAATTAAAAAAAGCATGTTCTGAATGTTAATGATTTAATTTTTCATATTTTACTTTTTTGCTCAGAAAATAAATTCTATTCACAATATTGGTTCCAATGTGTTCTTTTAGAACATCAATATTGGCTTGGTGCCTGTAGCTCAGCCACATACACCGGAGCTGGCGGGTTCAAACCCGGCCCGGACCTGCCAAACAACAATGACAACTACAGCCATAAAATAGCTGGGCGTGTGGCAAGCGCCTATAGTCCCAGGTACTTGGGAGGCTGAGGCAAGAGAATCGCTTAAGCCCAAGAGTTCGAGGTTGCTGTGAGCTGTGACACTATGGCATTCTACTGAGGGTGACACAGTAAGACTCTTATCTCAAAAAAAAAAAAAAAAGAACATCGGTATTTCTGATTTTCATGTACAAAGAAGAGCCTATTTTTTGGCCAGAATTGAATCATTCTAGATATACATAACACTGCCCTCTTCAGGGTGGCTCAGGAAATGCTATGTATTTGCAGACTTTAATTGCCTGGTTAAAGTTTATTATCAACTTCACTTGGTCAGGAAACAATTTGTTCAAATAGACAAGTACTGTTGTAACCTCATTAGAGATGCCAAATTACACCTGTGTAATTACCCAGATACGATACTAAAAGGAACCAGTAGGTTATGAGAAGGGTAGAAAAATAATTTATCCTCCAAACCTGTACCCTTTTTAAAGTGAAAAATGATGTTACGAATAATTACACTGGGACAACAGGCATGAGTCAGAGTTGCCTCAGGCAAAGCAGAGCATGTGGTCACACTAGCTATGAGGCAAACTTAGTTCTCCATTATGTCCCACATTGCCTAATGCTGTGCTCAGTATAAATTTTTCAAATACAAAGTAAAACAATGCTTACAATGACTCAGTCTCAACCTGATGTACATTAGTTGATTTCTTGGGAACAATTAGCCCCCTCTTTTGGCTTTACGTTAACACAACATATCTTAGAACAGCATCTCTTCTGGAGTACTTATTTAACACAAGGCAAGCTGGCAATGTACCCAGTCCTTTCCTGCCCTTGTCAATTCACAGTGGTATTAACATATATACTAGAAGAACTGAGTTAGGGGGCAAGATGGCCGACTGGAGCCAGCCTCCGACAGAATCTCCCGTCCAGAGGGAAGGATAATGTCCAGAAATTACCCAATAAAGCTGAAGACTAGGAGCCAAGCCCAGAGAGAGGAGCGATATCTGCAGGTCACATCTGCTGAGGCAAGCTACGACTCCAAGAAAGCAAACTTCAGGTACAAAATACAACCCAGAGGAAAAGTGTCCGTCCCCTCCCCCCCAAGAAAGGTGTGTTTTTCTTTTTTTTCTTTTTTTCTCTTTGTCTGCTCCTGTAGGTTTTCTACAGGCAAGTGGTCAACTGAGGACCTCTTGTCTCACCCCACATGTGAGAGCTGTAGGAGTGGGGTCTACTTCCCGAGGGGGACCCTGCTGAGACTCCAAACACTTTCTAGCCAGGCAGAAAAAATTTGAACTAACATTTTCCCTGCCATTCAGAAGAACTGAGTTATATCTTCATCCAATGATTTTTGGAACATAGTTTCCACACGTTTGATTATCATTTCCCAGATACCTGAAAAGATTCTGACATTAGCTTCAAGGCCCTTTGTTCAATTAGCATAAAGTGAATGACAAAAATCAAAATTCAAAGAAAACAAGACTGGCTGATAGGCTAATGAGATAAAACTTAATAGGGTAAATATAAAGTCTTACATTCTTGTTTTTAAATAAATATTTGTTGCACAATTAAAGGAAGATAGAGACTTGGTCTGAAAAGAAGTTATATGTGGGATGGTGCCTGTGGCTCAAGGAGTGGGGTGCCAGCCCCACATACTGGGGGTGGCAGGTTCAGGCCCGGCCCCAGCTAAAACTGGAAAAAAAAAAATGGCTCGGTGCCTATGGCTCAAGTGGCTAAGGCACCAGCCACATACACCTAAGGTGGTGGGTTTGAATCCAGCCCGGGCCCACCAAACAACAATAACGGCTGCAACCAAAAAATAGCCGGGCGTTGTGGCAGGTGCCTGTGGTCCCAGCTACTTGGGAGGCTGAGGCAGGAGACTCGCTTGAGCCCAGGAGTTGGAGGTTGCTGTGAGCTGTGATGCCATGGCACTCTACCCAGGGGGACAGCTTGAGGCTCTGTCTCAAAAGAAAAAAAAAAGAAGTTATATAGTTATATGTGAAGGCAAACCTTCAGATTAAAGCCCTAGGATTTTCATTAATTACAAATTCTTTATGAGGCAAAAGAACATGCCTGCTAAAAACCTTCAGCAATTTCATGCCGCATTAGTGTCCAGATACACAACATCCAGATCAAATTCAGCTACATACTGAATATTATGTCCAATTCCAAACACATTTTAGAAGGGACATTAACAAAGTTTTGTTTATCCTTAGAAAGCAATCAGGATGATGAAAATGATATCATATGAGGAACAACTGAAAGAGCTGAGGATGTGTATCCCAAAGGGGGAAAAGTTTGTGAGAGGAAACGTACAGCGGCTACCTTAATATATCTACCTTAATATATCTAATATATATACCTTAATATATCTAAAAGGCTATCATGTAGAAAAGGGATCCAGGGTTATCATGTAGAAAAGTTTGAGGACAGAATTAAAAGGGACCCAGGGTTATCACGTAGAAAAGTTTGAGGACAGAATTAAAAGGGACCCAGGGTTATCACGTA